ATGTTTTTATTTCCCTTTTTATAGATGGGCACTATATTTGCCCTTTTCTAGTCTTCTGGAATCTCTCCTGTCTCCCATGATTTTCCAAAAATAATAGCTAGAGGCTCAGATACTTCCTCTATTAGCTCCCTGAGTATTCTAGGATGCATTTCATCAGGCCCTGGTGACTTGCAGGCATCTAACTTTTCTAAGTGATTTTTAACTTGTTCTTTTTTATTTTATCTTCTAAACCTACCCCCTTCCCATAACATTCACTAGGTTAGGCATTCCTTCAGACTTCTCGGTGAAGACCGAAACAAAGAAGTCATTAAGCATCTCTACCATTTCCAAGTTTCCTGTTATTGTTTCTTCCTCCTCACTGAGCAGTGGGCCTACCCTGTCCTTGGTCTTCCTCTTGCTTCTAATGTATTGATAAAAACTCTTCTTGTTTCCCTTTATTCCTGTAGCTAGTTTGAGCTCATTTTGTGCCTTTGCCTTTCTAATCTTGCCCCTGCATTCCTGTGTTGTTTGCCTATATTCATCCTTTGTAATCCGTCCTAGTTTTTTATATGACTCCTTTTTATTTTTTAGATCATGCAAGATCTCGTGGTTAAGCCAAGGTGATCTTTTGTCTTAACCATGAGATCTTTCTAGGTGTCTAAACGTTGGCTGTTGTGATGCTAAGCATCATCTTGCCTAAGTTTCTTTGTGAATCAAGTCCCGTTTTCATGAGGCTATTTTCCTACAAGAAAGGGGGAAATCACCTCTCCTCTGATCTTTTCTTTCTCTAGAGACCCTGCCCTATCAACTGCGCTTTCTGATCTCAAAGGCAGAGAAAGAGGGTAAGTTTTCATGAGGATATTTTCGTACAACAATTATTTAATTAAAATCTCAGGATTAATTTTTTAGAAGAAGCTTCTGAATTCAAACAAGAGAGGTTTCCACCAATACAGAGTCATGGATCCAAGGTTAGAAGGAATCATTATATCATAAGAACGGCCAGACTGAATCAAACCAATGGTCTAGCTAGCCCAGTATCCTGTCTTCCAACAGTGGCCAATGCCAGAGGGAATGAACAGAACAGGTAATCATCCAGTGATCCATCCTGTCGCCCATTCCCATTTTGTGAGGTATGAACGTGCACATACTATTTACAATTGGAAAGTAGGGTACATTTTTTAGGTCCATTAATCAGTCTTTAGGGCACACTCAGGTCACATTTCGCTGCTTCTCTCAGTAATTATAAGGACTAAAAATTTCCTCTATTTTTATTTTTTGTATGAAAGACAAGCTTCGCTGCTGGAAAACGTCATTAACACAGAGTGCAGGTTGACCATCAGTGCCTTGTACGCTTCCAGAACGTGAAGGGAACCCATATTTCAAGCTCTGAAAACTGGGAAATAAAGAGTTAGGGAAGCATCTCCCACCAGCTCCTATGCTATACTTCCCTCTCGCCCTAGTGTCAGGAGCATGGACTCGTGTGCTGGGCTCCATCCATCCCCAGCTGGTGGAAGGTCCCTTGGGGAGGAGACCATGCTAAGACCAGTACTGAACCTGGCAGAGAATCAGGACTGCAGCGGCAGTCAAAAAAGCAAACAGAATGTTGGGAATCATTAAGAAAGGGACAGATAATAAGACAGAAAATATCATATTGCCTCTCTATAAATCCATGGTACACCTACATCTTGAATACTGCATGCAGATGTGGTCTTCCCATCTCAAAAGAGATATATTGGAATTGGAAAAGGTACAGAAAAGGGCAACAAATGACTAGGGGTATGGAACAGCTGCCATATGAGGAGAGATTAATGAGATTGGGACTTTTCAGCTTGGAAAAGAGATGACTAAGGGGAGATATGATAGAGGTCTATAAAATCATGATGGGTGTGGAAAAAGTAAATAAGGAAGTGTTATTTACTTCTTCTCATAACATAAGAACTAGGGGTCACCAAATGAAATTAATAGGCAGCAGGTTTAAAACAAACAAAAGGAAGTATTTTTTCACACAATGCACAATCAACCTGTGGCTCTCCTTGCCAGAGGATGTTGTGAAGGCCAAGACTGTAACAGACTTCAAAAAAGAACTAGATAAATTCATGGAGGATAGGTCCATGAGTGGCTGTTAGCCAGGATGGGCAGGGATGGTGTCCCTAGCCTCTGTTTGCCAGAAGCTGGGAATGGGCGACAGGGGATGGATCACTTGATGATTACCTGTTCTGTTCATTCCCTCTGGGGCACCTGGCATTGACCACTGTATTGGCCTAGATGGACCTTTGGTCTGACACATTAGCTATCTATCGTTCTCTTCACTCTGCTCCGTGGAGCTGTCGTGCACCAGAGAAGCCAGGCTACTGTCTCTTCTCAGATGTATTCAGAGGGTGAATGGAATTTAACAGCGGGGAGTAAGGAGCTCAGTTAGATACATGTATAACTGGATTCTCTAGAGAGCCATGGTCTGGCAAGGGAAGGCTTTTTACTGGATGAATGGAGAAAGGACCCTAATTGCGACCTCCTCTTCCCATCCACTGACCATAAGCCGGTCTACTGCCTTCCTCCATAGGGATCCCATATCTGCTTCCCTCTGCAACAAATCGCCAAATCAATATTGTAAGAATAATCCACCAGGCACATATAAAACCCCAGCCACATGCAGTGATCATCTGCTCTCTGGACTGGGGAAGGAGGAAACACTCTGGGGCCTGGAGCCCGTTTTTGGTGCATTAGAGAATCTCCAGGAGTCTAAATAGCCCCTCTGAAATCAACAGGGGTGTCGGGAGGCAGGCTGGACCCCCACTCCTGGTCCTCACCAGACTAGCTACCACATTAAGTGTGACTAGTGCAGACACAATTTAGTACTTTTCAAATGCATTAGCTGGTGTCCCTGTTAACGTCCTCTGCCTGGTGTCTGCTGCCTCCCCTGCTCTGTTCTATTGCTGGATGTGGAGCACCCCCAGCAAGGGAGAGGGATCGGGGGAGGAGACTGAGATCCCCTCTGCCACGGATCCCCAGGATTGGTGCTACGGCCCCAGCTTTGGAACAGTCTCTGGGAGGAGCCCCTTCAATGGGCCAGACCCCCAACATCAGCCCACTCTTCCTGCAGGGTAAGCCACGCGGCTTCACCAACTCCTCAGGCTGGACCTCTGGGCCTTCAGCCCTCCTGCCTCACAACATGAGCTGTGTGCAGTGTGTCCAACTGAGACAGACCCCTGAGGGAGACTTCTGTGATCTTAGGGAGCAACACACCTCTGCAAGCACCTGCAGCGACACTCAGCCACCGCTGTCACTGTCAAGCAACTGGGTTTTAGTCCACTGCTCTCCCCCACAGCACAGGGAGACCTTGGTTAGCACAGAGAAATGAAGGTTACAGCCATAAGCGCCAACTTTCCCCAGCATGGGTGGGTGCTCACGCCCCCCTGCCCCTGGCCCTGCCCCGACTCCACCCTTTCCCCACCCCCATTCCAACCCCTTTGCCAAAGTCCCCGCCCCAACTCTGCCCCCTCCCTGCCCCTATTGGACCCCTTCCCCAAATCCGGGCCCCGCCTCTTCCACGAGCACGCTGGGTTCCCCCTCCTCCTCCTCCCTCCCAGCGCTTGCCCCGTGAAACAGCTGTTTCGTGGTGCAAGTGCTGGGAGCTAGGGGGAAAAAGAGGGCACAGAGCGTGCTCAGGGCGTAGGCAGAGGTGAGCTGGGGCAGTGCGTCCAACTGAGACCGACCCCTGAGGGAGACTTCTATGATCTTAGGGAGCAACACACCTCTGCAAGCACCTGCAGCGACACTCAGCCACCGCTGTCACTGTCAAGCAACTGGGTTTTAGTCCACTGCTCTGCACCACAGCACAGGAAGACCTTGGTTAGCACAGAGAAATGAAGGTTACAGCATAGTCCATTGTTCAAGCTCTGTCTCCCTCTCCATCTGATCTGCTTTCTCAGACTCCCAGGTGTGCCCACACCATAGGCGCCGATTCTGTAGGTGCTCCGGGGCTATAGCACCCCTGGGAAAAAAACAGTGGGTGCTCAGCGCCCACCGGCAGCCCCATGGATCAGATCCTCCCTCTCCTCCCCTTCCACCTGCCGGCGGCCTGGCCAATCAGCTCCTTCCCTTCCCTCCCAGCACCTCATACCCACTGCGATCAACTGTTCAGTGGTGGGTGCAGGGGCAGGAAGAGGCGGGATAGGATGGATACGTGGGGGATACGTGGGGGAAAGTGTGGAGTGAGGGTGGGGCCTGGGACGGAGCAGGGGTCAAGCAGCACCCAGGAAGTCAGCTCCTCTGCCCCCCACTGCTTCCTGCAGCCAACACGTAACTTCCGCTTCACCCCTCCCCCACCCCTAGTCCTTTGTTCCCGAGCTGGCGCGATGCAGCTCAGCCGCAGAGGCGGGGAAATCCATAGCTCTCCGGGGGGCTGGTTGCTGTTTCTATGTCCAGGCAATTTTCACCTTCCTCTGCAGCACGTGGATGCGGGTGACGTACCAGGATTGTTTGGGGGTATCTCACTGAATCATTTCCCTGCATTGTGGGGCCTCAGGCACAGGTACCTCGGTGCCTCCTCTTCTCTGCCTGTGGCACATAAATAGTCCAGTCTGCTGTAGGCTGTCCTGCTTTGGGCTAATGTTGGGGTTTGGGGTAGGCGGGTGCTGGGTGGGGTTGGTGGCCTGTGATATACGGGGGTCAGATTAGATACCCCGGTTCCCTTCTGGCCTCAGACTCTCTGACTCTCAGCACTGCAGTGGTTTAGCCTGCACAGAGGCGCCGACTTCCCCAGTTTCCAGTGGGTTGCTTGACCCTCGCTCTGCCCCAGACCCCGCCCCAAGCCCCTATCCCTCCCCCCCACCTCTTCCTTCCCCCACAGCTTCCCCTACCCCTCAGAACCTCCTACCACCTCTGAACAACGGATCCGTGGCAGGAGGAAGGCGCTGGGAAGGAGGGAGAGGAGCTAATCAGCGGGGCCCGTCAGTGCATGGGGGGTGCTGTGGGGAGAGGGGGAGGAGCTAATCGGTAGGACCTGTTGGTGGGTGCCAAGCACCAGTATTTTTTTTCTCTGGGTGCTTCAGCCCCGGAGCACCCATGGAGTCGGTGTCTGTGCTGGGTGGAAAGCACCCCTGAACTCAGATGAGGTGTTTATGCATCTGGACAGGAAGAGCATTAGAGTTAGCAGCTGAGTAAGCGCCTGGATTAACTCTGCAGTGAGGACAGATCTTAACACTCTCCTTCTGTCTCTCTCTTCCCTCTTGCAGTGCAGGCCACTCCGGATCCAGAAGTGGTAACTCCCTGTTCCATCGTGTCCACAGATGAGAGTGTGATACAGAAATACCAAGATGTGGGATACTCAGTGCCACAGAATAGGTTTTACCCTGCTCCCTATGTGCTGGGCTATAAGGGCTTCACCTCAGGGAGATGTTACTGGGAAGTGGAGGTGGGGAACAAAAATGACTGGCTTTTGGGCATTGCCAAAGAGTCTGTGATACATGAGGGAGCGATAAGCTGTACACCAGAGGAGGGGATCTGGGCTTTGCAGAATACAAGATTTCAGTACTGTGCCCTCACCTCCCCTAAGACTGCTCTGGACCTACATCGTAGACCCAGTAACATTGGGGTTGATCTGGATTATAAAGGACAGACAGTTACATTTTATGACATTACATCTTCTGGCAGAGAGACAATCTTTACTTTCACATCTTCTTTCACTGGGAAGATCATCCCCTTCTTTGGGAGCCGGCGTGTAGAATTTCAGAGTAGGGGCAGATATGGTCATTGGTAGGCATACCGTTAAGACCTGTGACAGAGGATCAGGGATCACTCGATATGAGATATCTAAAGTAGAGCAAAGACATGGGTAATATATAAATTACAGCTATCACACTTTGCCATTCTAATCACAGTCTTGCCAGCCTCAAGCATTCAAAAACTGTGTCAGCCCCCCCACAATCATGGGATTGGCTTAAACATCTTTTTATATATTATGTTATTTTTCTTTGCCTTCTGGTTTCCCAGCTTTCAGGGTGTTCTTGTTTCTGGTTTTCAATCTTTGCTACACCAACATGAAGGCTGGAAATGTATCTGTAATATAATCTGAGCTCCCTCAAATCTATCTACTCCAGCAGCTGGGACTTTTAAGAAAAACACTGAGTGCTGCAAGACTCACAATAAAATGGTGAGGGAGAACAAGACTGACTTGCTCAGCATTATACTGGTGAAAGGAGTTTCTCAGCCAACTTACATGCCTTTCTCTGTAACTCTGGGATCCTCCAGACACACATGAACTGGCCAACCAGCAGACACCAGGAGTCACTCTCAGGGTCACAGCAGAGCCTGTCTGTCTTAGGGCAGGTCTACACTTAAAATACTGCACCTGCGCTGTTGCGCCCCTGTAATGCTTAAGTAAAGACGGTCCTATGCTGACAGGAGAGCTGCTCCCATCAGTGTAGTTAATCCACCTCTGTGAGAGGCGGTAGCTATGTCCAGGGGAGAAGCTCTCCCATCAGTGTACCGCTGTCTACACCGGGAGTTCAGTCGGTACGCCTGCGTTCACTGAGGGGTGTGGATTTTTCACATCCCTGAGCGATATAGTTCTACCAATGGAAGTCTATAGTGTAGACCTGGCCTAAGTTCTGACTCACTTAGGGTCATCCATCGAAGTCCTCTGCTCTTTACTTATGAATATAAAAAACATAGTGGTGTTTCCCTCTCCCTCCAGTTCCCTAGCTCAATGCTCCTATTTTGCTCTATTTGGTTATTTGGATGCTGTAGATTCAAATGAGTAAATTCACAGAATAAAGTTTATTTCTATCTTCTGGTCTTGGACTTTGTCCCAAGGGTATTAGATCTGTACGGCTCTGCCCTGAAAGGCTAGACAGACCAACAAGCAAATGCCTTGAAGGGGCTTGAAGAAAAGCCGCTGGGTAACTTTAAGCGAAAGCTCTAAAAGCAAAGCTTGAGAAATGTATAAATAAAATCAAAGAATCAAGCGATGCTTTCCCGGGCAAGAAAAAAGCAACAACATCCTCGCTGTGAAAGAAATCCATTAGGAACTTCCAGCTGCCAAGGAACAGAAGGAAACTGGCAATAAAATAGCAACTCACATTATCAACTGCAGTAATATTATGGGGTGGCACTTAGCCGCATCATTGTGTTGCAGCAGCATTTCTTTCCCAAACCAAATTACCCCTTTTCCTTTAAATTCACATTCACAGTCTGATTGGCTAGAAACCTGATACACCACCCGAGGGCACAGGGTAGGGTCAAGGGTACAAAGCTGGAGTCATTTGGTCAACAGCGCCTCCCAACATGAGAGCTGTGGGCTAGGTATGAAATAGGAGCACAATCCTGTTCATGGCTGGTTGAGGGAGACTCCCAGCACACCCTGTAGCCTACAGGCTGGAAGGCAGAAGAACTCAATCTCTTCTGCTGCTGCTTCTCAGCAGTTTGTATTGTCTGAGGCATCGCACCCTTGGGGAGGTACCCGTCATCAATACCCCCTTTTTGCAGATGTGAGCAGAGAGGATGCAGAAGGTGAACTCCAGACAAAGCTGGGAAGATGATTTGTAAATTCCAAGGCCAGAAGGGGCCACTGTGATCTTCTAGACTGATTTTCTAGTCTCCTGTGTCACACAGGCCACGGACCTTACCCCAAATAATTCCTAGAGCATCATTTTGATTTATTATTTCCAAATCTTGATTTAAAACTTTTCAGTGACAAAGACTTTGCCACGCCCCTTGGCAAATTGCTCTAGTGCAGGGGTCTCAAACATGCGGCCTGCGGGCTGCATGCGTTAGAAATGTACACCTTAATGCCAGGTCTCTGTCTAATACAGCAGACCCACACCTCAATCACCGAACCCCTCGGCCTTTGGAAATGAACCTACCAGCTCAACTAGGTGTACATGCTGGGTTACATGTCTTACCATAGCCAGCAGGGGCTGTAACTTTAACAATGGACTGATTCCAGCTCAGCAAATGTGAGTCTCTTCCAGGGTGTTGGGAAAGCCCAGTGTTTACTGCATATGGAGTTTGTGTCCCCAGCAGAGGTTGCATGGGATCCAGGAACAGCTCACCCTCACCTTAACCTGTCTGCAGATCAGAAAAGTGTGAGACATGAACACACGCTACAGGACCTGCCCAACAATTCTGAGAGATTGAATTGTGCTGTGTGCACTGGGCTCTGAAGGATTCCTGGCAGGGAAACATCACTGGGAGGTGGAGGTGGGGAATGGGGAAAGCCGCCGAGCCGGACCATTGGTGTGCCCAGAACTTGGGTGTAGAGAAAGTGATGGTTCTGCTGGAACCAATTCCAGGCTCTCACCTCCCCACGGACCTCTGTGACTCTGAGCATAAGACGCACAAAGATCAGGGTTTATTGGGGCGAGTGGCACTTTACGATGCTGATAACAAGACCCCGATCTCCATGTTCATTTATTCTTTCAGAGAAAATCTTTCCTTTTTTTTCTCTTCAGCCTCTGAGATCAGACCTTAAAACTGTGCCCCTGAAAGCCAATAAATGGATTTCATTGGGTGTCATTTTCCCCCTACTCTTTACACAAGCCTCCAGTTTACTGAACTGTAAAGGGAAAGGATTTGAAGAACATTAGAAGAAAGGCTCAGATTCATAAAGGGACTTAAGCAACTAAGGCCTGGTCTACACTACAGAGTTAGGTTGAAGTCTGGCAGCTTATGCCATCCTAATAAGGTCAGCGTCCATACTACAGTGTTCCTCCCACCGACATAACTCACCTGCTACGTTGACTGAATAACTCCACCTCCAAGAGAGGTGCAGCACTTATGTCAACATAGTTAGGTCAACGCAGTAGCAGTGTAGACACTGCATTGCCCACATCAGCTTAAGTTTCCTCCAGGAGGTGTCCCACAATGCCCCATTGTGACCCACTCTGGTCACTGTTTTGAACTCCGCTGCCCAGCAGCCAGGTACACAGGGACAAGCCCCTCCTGTTTCTGGACTGGGAATTTTTGAAATTCCATTTCCTGCTTGCTCTGCATGGAGAGCTCCGCTAGCACCTGCCCAGCTGAGCAGGCCGGCTACAGGCTCCCAACGCTCTGCTGCCTGCACCACACAGGAGGTGTTGGATCTCCTGGGACTGTGGGGAGAAGAGGTTGTGCAGGCCCGGCTCCGATCCAGCCATAGAAATGTGGACGTCTATGAGCAGATTGCTCGGCGCGTGGGGGAGAAGGGCTAAAAGAGGGGCCCGCAGCTCTGCCACGTGAAAGCCACAGAGCTGCGCCAGGTGTACCAGGAGGCGAGGGAGGCCAGCAGTCGCTCTGGTGCAGGGCCACAGACATGCCGCTTTTACAAGGAGCTGCACGCTATCCTCTGCGGTGATGCCATGCCACCCCCGAGCCCCATGGATACCGGAGGAGTTGGAGTCATGGGCCACCGCAGGCAACGCTGAGGATGAGAATGGGAGACAGGCAAGCAGGGGATCGATTGTCAGATTCAGGGCTTAAATTCAGCTGGAGCTGTCCGGAGCGGAGCTCTGGTAAATATTTTCAATCCCCCTGGAGTTTTTATAGCATATTGGAGGAGGAAATGGGGGGCTCCGGGAAACGCTCTATAAGAATTTAAGCCCTGATCAGATTACATGCTGTGGCCTAATCTAGAATGGAACGAGACTAATAAAGAAATAACGCCGCCTTCATTCTGGGTTTACATACACTCGCCCTGAGGCTTAATGCTGTAGAACACTTTTCTCAATCACAAAGGTACTTTATTTGTGTCTAGATTTAAAATAGAAATGTCACACTCCTAGCAAATGGTGACAGGAATGCCCCAGTCTGTCTAAATGTGCTGCCCCTGGCCCAGAGCATGAGAAAAGGTAGAGGTAGCACTACTGGGATAGGGGAACCTCTATCATCACAATTTGTTACCCCCGGACCAGGAGATGGGAAAAGGTGACAGGTAGCAAATTGTGATGTTGCCTCTGGACTACAGGATGGGGAAAGGCAGAGGCAGCAAATTGTTTCATGGCAGTAAAAGAGAGACTAGAGATGTCAGTAACAAGTACAGGTAGCAAATTGTGCAGGCAGCAGTTTGTGGGGTTACACTGGCCAGGAGAGGGGCGGTGGGCAGCCTTCATCGCAGAAGGGATGGTGGACTTGAGGGCAGGTTGCCTAGGTGCAGTGGTGGGTTAATTCAGCCCAACAAATAACCAGTGGAACCTTGGATTACCCAGGAAGGGTGTGGGAGATCCAGGTCTACCGGGCTAGCACCCTAACCCCTGGACCCGCCCTTTCACTCTACAGGGATACGCAGAACAAGTAGCTGCACACGGGGATTCAAAGATAGAACAGATATAAATGCCCCAGCGTCAGGGCACGAGCCAGTGACTAACTGAGGGGGTTGGAGGTGTGAGGAGTACAGATTTATTAAGGGGGGGACTGGTTGGCGTCTGGCTTGACCCGGCTGGGATCCACCACCCCAGCCCCCCCCCCCCCCCCCCAGTGCTCTAGATCTCGTTGCTGATGGAAAGCAGGTTGCAGATCTGGTGCCCATCCCCGGAGGATGCTGGGGCAGTTCTAGGGAACAGCCCTCGAGGGAGCTCAGAGTCTGCTCCGGCCGTCTGGGGAACAAACAGCCGAACCGCCCACCTTTCCATGGTACATATTTTATCAGCTCAATAACCGAGCAAAAGCATCAAAAAACCCACATAAAAATGAAAAAACATTAACGAACCTGAGTCCAGTAACTGGATTATTTAAACCATCCCAAATAAATTAACGGCGCCTTCTAAGTGCTACGTAACACTCCGAGGCACCAACTTTGTCATTTCCTGCAGGGTGCTCGACCCCCACTCCGCCCCTTCCCACCTATGCCACACCCCTGCCCGATTCTACCTCCTCCCCTGAGCTTGCCCCGCCCTTGCTCTGCCCCTTCCCCCCAGCGCCTCCTGCACCCCACTGAACATCTGATTGCGGCAGGTGGGAGGCACTGGGAGGGAGGTGGAGGAACTGATTCAGCCCCAGAGCACCGACGGAGTCAGCGCCTAGCTCATTTGTATTAAGGTTGATGGACTTGCAGGTTAGCTAGTGGTGACTCACTTGCAGGTGTCAGATCTTGGACGTCCTACGTTGCTGATTCCTACCTCTCAGTGGCCGGCTTGGGGGGGGGGTGAATGAAGAACAGGGCACTTTGTGTGGCATGGCCAGAGGCCAGCAGCCAGTGGAAACTGGCCTAACAAGTTGTCATAACTATAAAGGGAAAGGTAACAGCCCTCCTGTGTACAATACTATAAAATCCCTCCTGGCCAGAGACTCCAAAATCCTTTTCCCTGTAAAGGGTTAAGAAGCTCAGGTAACCTGGCTGACACCTGACCCAAAGGACCAATAAGGGGACAAGATACTTTCAAATCTTGGTGGGGGGAAGGTTTTTGTTTGTGCTTTTTGTTTTTGGGGGTTGTTTGCTCTAGGGACTGAGAGGGACCAGA